TATATATATATATATATATATATAGCTATTTCGTTCCTTGACTTTCCATTTGATATAATTTTTCACACAAAATGCTCGCATCCTCTGTAAATTTCTGGTATTTTTCCGATGTTCCAATCATCAATTAGCCAAACAAAAAATGCATTCTTTCTACTTCTATTCGCAAGTCACTTTCACCAGTGTACCATTAGCAAAAATGTCCTATTATTAACATTCTTTTCAAACATATCACAAATATCTTAAATTTCATCTCATTTTTAACATTATATTCACAAAAGCACACCTTCCAAAAAACAGTAGTTAATACAATGAAGAGTGCACAAAGTGTTTTCTCAAGTAATGAATGAATGTTTGTATATAAGCTGCCTCTTAACATTCTAGAAGACACAGAAGTAATTTCTTAAGAATCCTTTCTGCTGCAAACTCTATTATCTGAATAAATTATTAAGTTGTTAATTACTTTTTAAATATTGGTTAATCATGCAAATTACATTCATAATAATATTTGGAAGCTTTATGGACCAAAAATTTCATATGAATTTTTCACACATATTAACATGTCTGCAAAGTAATTAAACAATAGGCACAACATTAATATTGTTTGAGTCTGTCATGATATTTTAGTGCATATCGTATTTTTAGTTATGCAGAAGAAAGAGTTTTTTCAGAATATAATTTAAAGATATTAAATATCTCTGGTAGACAATGAAGTTGTCACATTTGCATCTAAACCCTTTGGCAATAAGGATCTAACAAGTTTCACTTATTTAACTATAAATCCAAAATTCATAGTTTGTTAAACTATAATTACTAGTTCATACATTTTTTTTTAATGTCAACCATAGCTTCAACACTGAAGGTTCATGTAACCTCTTGTCTCATCAGTTTCATTTAAATAAAATAATAATAGATGAAATATTAACAACATAAATGTTTACTTTTTAGTAACAGAATGTCAAGCAATTCCTTAGAATTGTGAATATCATACAAAAACAAAAATCCCAATATGGAATGTTTTTTCAGGGTAGGCAAGGGAGGTCTCGCATCATAATAATCTACCACAGCAAACTTCTTTACTGTCCTAGACTTTGTTTTTCTGTAAAGGTAATTTCATGTAAAGAAGTAGTTTTAGCCAAAGGATGAATAATACATATGAATCAACAACTGCTTCTACAAAGATTGTAACACTGAAGGAGAGGCCATTTCTGTGCCCACCACATCCCAACTCAGTGGCATGGGCGATTTGTACCCAAGGTCACAATAACTAACCACAGAAGTGCTGTGTAGAAAGACATGTGAAAGCCAATGCAACTGGTTTCTAAACTCAGAATGTGGTATATTAACTTTGCCATGTATTTATTAACAATGGCTTCTAATAAGAATACATATATTCACAAGTAGCATTGAAGAAGAAGGTTTTTAAAATGAAAGGAGTAATGCAGACTTAAAGAAAGTAGTGTGGTTGAATTAGTTTAATAGACTGTTGTCTTGTGATTTTAGACAATACAATTTTCAAATATAATCATAAGAACTCTAAAAATTAATTCCAGTGAAAATAATTTTCTGACTAAATATCTAATTTGTTGGAATGTATTCCAGAAGAGAAAAATACCATTCTATTTTTAATGATCACACACATTTGCAAGAGATGAACTCTTAATGAAACATCTACTTCTCCTATCAGAGTACGCGTTGTAAATGAAACATTTTGTCCACAACTAGAGCCTGGATACTAAGATTTTACCCTATTTAGTCCACACTTCTTAATATTATTTTAACACACTTATCTGTTTCAATAGTTAATGAGCTGAATATTTGAATCCTATAGATTCTAGAAATGGCTAAAATGAGTTTTAATTTTAAAAAAAGGCTAAATCAGGTCTTGTATGCAATGTTGGCTTAGGAAAACTTGTTTCATTTGATTGAATTTTTATTGTGGATCGGACTCTGCATCTAAGCTGACTTCATCGCTTTCATTAGATTAATACTAATTTCCCATCCGTATGCCCCATTGATTTCCTTTTGTGTTGGTAAGCCTTTTCTTGTTTCAAGTGTGCATTGAGAGACAATACGAAATTTTCTATATTAGATATTTTAAAATTATATATGGTTATTCAAGCAAATATTAAGGTTAAAGTTTTTGTTGGGATGCTCATTTTCAAGGGAATATTAAAGAAAATGAAAAATTGTTCTTTAAGCAATAAAGAACAATTTTGCTTTTGCACAATTGTGCTTTTTAAAAAGAACTTTGCTTAAGTTCAGAAGTATGAATACTGAATAAAAAGAGTTAGTGATTTGAAAAAAATGATTAAACCCTAAAATTGACTTTTTAAAAAACTAAAATAATGTTTATGAAATCCTAAAAATCCAGATCTTTGTCAAAATTATCCTTTTCAAGCAAAACATACTATGAGGGATGTGAAATTTTAAGAAAAATGTACTGAAAGACTCACAATAAAATGATCATTGTTACAAGAGAATAAAAATAAAAGTTGATCATTTCAATTTTCATGATACAATAATCATAAATATTGTATGAAAGTAATAAGATGGGAAATATTTTTCTGGTTTTCTTGGAATACAAAAGTTTGAGCTGCCAAATCAATGTTTTATCATCATATCATTGATAGGATAGGAATAATGAAATTTATTTCAAAGTATGTGCTAGAGAACTTTTATTCTACAAGAGTTCTATTTTTATGTTTGAACTTCTTTCACCTAAACTCTTATTGACATATCAACTATAGTCTCTTTTGCAGTAGGTAGAATAGGTGCAGCATTTGGCATTGCTGAATTGCGCACTAGATGAAACATTAGTTTTTAGGTGAAGTCCACCGGAGTGAACATGAAGACATAAAAATGTCTTTATAACAGATTATAAATACAGTAAATAGTTTGATAAATGGAAATTTAGTAAATGTAAATATGAAAACATTAATATTTAATCAGAAGTAAATAAAATAAAAAAGAAACGGAATGTATAAATGAGATGTATAAAATACTTGACCTTAACAACATGTTCTACAGTGTAAAGTAATTTTCAAATTACAACATTTCCCTTAAAAAATATAAATAAATAAGAATTTCTTATCCCATTAGACTTTCTGTTTCATGTAAACTGTTTCAAGCTGAAGCAAAGAAAAAAGAAATGCATATCGCATCATGTGAAACAGAAGGAGAATAGAAAAAGAAAAAAACTGGTCAAAACTTGCCCCCTCACCATTTCAAGTTATAAATATAGAATGTACTACTATTATTAAATTTGATGTAGTTGCAAACCTAATTGATATGCATTATTAATGTAATTATTCTTATTAATGTAATCATTATTATTAATATAATTATTATTATAAGTAGTAGCATTAAAATAACATATTGAAATGTTAATTATTAGCAGATAAGTTGTCTACTGTATAATATCTTAATCTAACTGTAACAAGTATTGTATTTCTAGGCCCATGACCCCATCTCAATTAGGTTTTGTTCAGTTTCCCTGGTCCTTTGAGCAAATGCTGAGATGGCCCCTTGTTAGCTCCTGAACAGTAATGTAACTTTGCTCTCCACCCAAGGCATCATATTGACTCATCATACACGATTGTAATTGTATATGTGACTCAATAAATATTATTACTGCAAGTTAGAACCATAAGATAGATAACCATGGATTTAAGTAACTTTGTTCACAATTATCTAAGTTAGTAAGCAAATACATAATATAATATTCACATTATGATTTAAGATGAAGTGCAAGAATATATTTCAAGATTTATGAAGACAACAATGAAAAAGAAAAGAGGAATTTTTCAGAGTCTACATTTTATCCCAACTCCTCTTTATTTAAAATATTATTTAAACAAATCAGATTATGAATCATTATTAATAATTATCATTAATATCATGGATTATCTATAAAGTTCTCTAACATTCTCTTGAATATTTCCACATATATTAGTTTTGCTATCACGAGAAAATCCACAGTTATCTCTTGGTATGTTCTTACTACAACTAATGAATCAGCATATTACTAATAAAGTGAGAATTAGCATTTTTATTGTGTTTTGTTCATTTCACAATTACTTTTTTCCATGTACAGACTCAAGAAGCTTCCATGTACAGACTTCAAGAAGCATACATTTCTGACTATATTACCTTTAAATGAAAAGTCAGAAAATATATAAGGAAAAAATATTTCCTTCATAGAGTATTTTGACTTATTTTTAATACACAAAACTTCCAAAAAATGTTTAAACTAAGTCTTCTATAAAGTATATATTTAAAATGACTTAACAGTGTTTCTAGCAGCAAACAAGCTTTGTTCAGAAGTATTCAAGTTCTTTTAAATGCATCTCTCTGATTAATATTATTGTACTATTGAAATAAAGGGTGGTGGGAGAACAGTGCACTTGCTGTCCCATGGGGTGGACACATACCTTCACCAGGCTGTCTGCATAAGCATAATGAATCGGCCCTTTAAATGGTGGGTTTGAGTCTCGGAAGGGAACCTTTGGAGAGAGATAGAGAAAGAAAAACATACTCTACCAACATGTCACAATAAAGCTAAAGCATGAGCTTTAAGCAACTAGTTGCGTAATTACAGTTGCTCAATATTTTGAGGTATTTATACCTGCCATATTTCTATTTTTTTGTCTTTAATCTTAATTTTATATTTTTATTCAGTTAAATATCCTATTAATCAGAGGACCAAATGATGAGGAAACATTATTTTATTATAAAAATGCAAATAAACAATCAGCTGCAAATTTTTCATCATTGATTAATGATATTGTAATACCAGAAGGGAGCTCAGGCATAAGTAACTCAAAATATTGTACAAAATCTTCACATTTGCATCAATGTTCTGATTTATGAAAATGGAAATATAATTTGTTTTCTCATAATAACATGATCAATTAGAACACAGTTTAATTACTATCTGAAAAATTTTCAGCATTAAAGATACAAATTGAGATTCATAATATAAAAGAAAGTATTTACAACTACCTTAACTTTCATGAACTTAACTTTTCATGAATTAAAAAATTAACAAGTCATGCATATCTCTCATTAATCTTAAAGTTAATTTTTATTTATAACAATCAAGCATGTAATGAAGAAATTCAAATTCATTAAATATCAGGGAGGTTTAATGTCTCTGATATTTCTCCTTCAAAGGAAACACTCGTGGAATGCAATACTGAAGCAATGAATCAAAGTAATGAAATATAAAAATTTGAAGATATTATTTTATGCGTTCACTGACTGTGATTTAAAGTGAATGACATTATTTCAGTAATTTTGGTTTCAGTAATCTTATATTTACTACTAAAAAAACAAAATATTTGTAGCTTTATGTAGATATTGTAATTTATAAAAAAGTTCAGTATTTTTTTAAAAATAGGTTTATTTGCAAATTCCAGAGTGTTTTTGATATGTTTAATTCAAGGCATAAAAATAAAGGAGAGAAACAGACAGGTCTTTCAAGTAAAATGAGAAAGCTTGCTATGACTTATATTCCTACAATTTAAGTTATAAATCACACCTGCATTTATAATCAATAACACATTGAAATATATGTACATAATCATAAAAGAGATCAGCAAATTTCATGTTCATGAAGCACTGTTATTAAGACAACTATCTTAAAATGACACACTGATCATAACAGAGAATAAATGCAGGCATTTTATTCTATGTTAATTATTATTATCGTCGCTAAATTATAGAATTACAAATTTGGTCAAGAAAAAAAAAAAGAAAAGAAAGAATGCCTTCTACACACAAAGGAAGCAGACAGAAAGCATGACGTCATGCTCTGGGCTACAGTCCACTAATGGAGCTGCGCAAAATGTCTGGCTCAGTGGAAGGGGAGATCTGTTGACAGTGAGTACATAAAATGTGGATGCATAAAGAAGGAAAGTTGTAGTACATTGTGGAGGAAATTACACACACCCTAAATTTCTAGATCAACATGAAATAATTTTGAAAATTTTGGTCTCCAAATTAAAATATTGACATGTTTAAATGAGTGTAAAATAAAAGACAAATAAATCATGATGCCCATGGCATACTACAAATAAATTAATTATTCGAAACAAAGAGGCAATTCAACTATGGGACTTTTTGAAATTATAGAAATTCTTATTAAATGAATATCATGATTCAAAGACAAAAGTTAGGAAGCATAAAAATAAATATTTACATCAATCCAAAAATGAGACTTCTAGTAAATTGCCACACAGCAATATATTGAAGTCCCTTATTGTGTCAAGTATAGAGAAATACACACAGCAAAGCACAATAAGAAGAAACAAGTTAGTAAACCAAATCAAAATTTGATTTTCATAAATTTAATACAGCCACCAAGATATATTTATTGAATTAGTCAATATACATTCCACATTACTACACAACTATTTTATCACCATATTCCCTGTTTTCTACAGTTCTTGATTGCAAATGTGAATTATATTGTTTTGACATAGTGTGTGTAAAATGTACTTCAGTCAGAAGACAGCTCCCCTTCTCAAATTTTAATTTTTCCAAATATTAAACATTTTTGGGGCTTGTAGCCAAGAATATCAAAATTTTTAACGATCTTAGCCATTTTGTTTCAAGCTCCGTTAGCTCCTCTTCTTTAACACTCACAAATCAAAGAGATTTACACAGTCAGTTATTAGTATGCCCACATACATGCGAAATGCATTGTCACATTAGCAAATGCACCATTCTCCACCCAGCTCCCATCGCAGCAGAAAGGACAGAGGAAGAAGCCATGGCAAGAATCTACAAACACCATGGTGTCACAAATTTCTTCAGTACATATAAAAATCCATTACTAATTATCTATTTACCTGGAAACCCATAGGCCAACAGCTCAAAAATATTAACTTTGTTGCCATTGAAAAATTGAGGGCAAGATTAAATAGATATACTGATGGATAGATAGATAGGTTTTATCTACTTAGAGTTTAGTAAGTACTCTAAACCAGAGTATTTGAGTAATGTTTTGCAACATATTTACAAGTTCAAGAAAACATTCACAAAAACTTTGTTTAAAAATATTTTGTGTAAAAACTTTAGAAAGATATTTGAGAAGAGTAAATGAAAATATACAGGCATTTACTGTCAATAATTTCAAATAAAGCAACTTTCAAAATTAGTATTTTATATAGATATTGTATTATTTCTAAAAAAATATGTATAAATTAATATATCAATAAAGAAAATTTTAGAAATAATATGTGTTTTAATGTATTTCCAAGTTGAACTAATTTTTAAATAATTTAATTTATAATTTTTTACCACACTTTCAATTAATTAATAATTTTAGGATTAATAATCAATTTTAAATGTAAGTTTAACATCTTTTTATTTTGAGCTTAAACTATGAATTTCCAAGCAAATGAACACATATCTACCATAAAACATGACAAAGAAAAATTTTAACATATAAATGATTAATACAACATTTCATTAACATCAAAAGAGCAAAACTTCAGGCAAGCTCATGCCTACAACCTACCCACACACCTCACAAGGATCTAATCAATATACTGTCCTCTCAAAACCGTCTACATACACAGCCTACTGTTGAAAGTCATATAAAATTCGTATTTCAAAAGGAGTTTGATTTTTCACAAATTCTAAATAAGGTACTCAAAAGGTGAATCAAAATGGAGATTTTAAAACTTTTAATATCAAAAGTATAACACACTGAACTAATTGTGTTAAAGCAAAAATGTACAGGATTTTTTAAAAAATGAATTACTCACAATGTTGATGCAGGACTAGTGACTAGGGAATTCAGAAAGCTCAGTGCTGTCAAGAGTGCTGAGGTGTGCAACATCTTACAAAAGATGCTGGGGAACATACACAGGGAAAATGATGTGTTCCATTTATCTTTGCTTTAACATTCAATTGTGGACAAATACACAAATGTTCAAGAAGATATGATCACATTTAAAGCCATCCAGAACTCAGTAAAAGGAGAAGAGAATATGAAATTTTTAACTCGCTTATAGAAGAAAGACAAATACAACAAAAAAATGATTGAATACCCACAGCATATTGAGCTTAGAGAAACCATCTCTGGTAGAGTGAAAACTGGGGGAACTATTAAAACATTCAACATCAATGCATATGTACATGTGAAGAGCTATTTAAACATTCACCAAAATTTCTAAGTGTACCTTGTTTAATAATCAACATTGCATTAGGTTATTTTCTAGATTACATTTTGTTAAAAATAAAATACAAGAATTCAGCACAAAGCTGTATTCTTACTTTTTAAAAAGATATTTTAATGTTCTATTCTCATACATTGTACTAAATAAGAAGTAATCTTAGAACAAAAGACTGCTGCAATGGTTTTTTGGGAGGCTACACTACCAGAGGTGTCTTGTGCCAAGGAAGCAACAAAACTGCAGACTCAGAAGAAGAAGCTACACACTGGTCTGAAACCTAAGAACACACACACACACGAGACAGGAAGAACTCCAAAGCTCGATCTAAAGCAACATTGATGAACATTGAGTGGAAAGAAACGAGCTAGTAATATTATAGATACTGATCTCAAACTACTAGATCTGTAGTTGATTTATTAACCAATCAAAAAAAAATAATTTTAAGACTCAAAAATTATCAGGAACAAAGTTCTACATCTCTCAGCCATGTTTTCATATAAATGAAAGTTAGAATCAAATTAAAAATATCTCAGAAATCTTTCTAGCACATGTAAGAATTCACACTACAATAAAAGTGATGTTCTGATTTATAAAAATGATTTATACAAAATTATTAGAAAGCAATCATCAGTACTAGCTTGTTGCTTGTATTTTGGAATGCGCACAAGGAAAGGTGCTCTGCTGCACCACGTAAAACTCACCGCGCTGACCTTGCGCACCTTGCCGTTGGGGCCCCCCATGCGTGACCGATGCTCACTGATCGAGTCCCCTCCCTCTGATCGGATGCTCATTTCCTTGTTGTTATCATCATTTATTTTTTCCTGACCAACAAACAGTTCGTAACTATGGCATGAGAAATCTGATGGAGACTTCACAACCTGCTCGGGGTGAGCGGCGGCGTGCGCTGCAGCCTCAGCTGCTGCTGCCCGCGCCGCCAACTTGTTCTCTCGCGCCTGAGCAGCCTCCTCTGCCTCCTGTGAAGAAAAAAGAAAAGAAGTGAAGAATTAATACAATCAACACTTGTACATTACTAAATTGCAAAAACATCATTTATTTTACACTTTGCAATTCTCATCAATTATTTCCTTCATAAAATATAATTAAATATTTCCTACTAATAGTATAGGTAAGTGCATTTCAAGTTCTTAATTTTTAGAGATAATTCTCGGGCAAGTGCTTGTTCACAATATAGAATCTCCATTTTTACCCTCAGAGCTTCCTCCTCAGCTGCTTCTTCTTCCTCAGCCTTCTTCTGCAACTCATCATACGACATGGCGACAATGGCCAAGATCAAGTTGACAAGGTAAAAAGATCCCAGAAAGATGATCACAATGAAAAACAACATATGCCAAGGCCCTGCTGACCGCAAAATCTAAAAAGAAAAAGTAAATTAGCAAAAACTTTCTAGTTAAAAAAGCAACACTCATAAAAATTTTAAAGATACAATGTTGGTATAAATATTTTAAGAAAATCTTATTGTTTTTACAAGTACGTATGAAATTGACTTCATAAAGAATTTTTATTACTTAACTGCTTTAAATAAATTATCTTGTAGATTTTTTCGAAACTTCAGCCCAAACAAACAAATTATATTTTATCTATCTGAATAAAATGTACAATAGAAACTCAAAAATTTTCTTGAAATGAAATCTCTAAAATTATTTTCTTGTAATTAATAGTAATAGCTTACCAACTGGTACAGGTTCTCCCAGTAATCTTGAGTCATCAATCTGAAAGCTGATAGAAGTGCCCAGCCAAATGTATCAAAACTTGTATACCCATAATTAGGGTTCTGGCCAAACCCTTGCAGGCATATGTACCCTTCTTCACATTGCCTAAAATTTGAAGGAAGAAAACACTTAACACAAACTGATCATGTGAAGTGAATTATAGTGCAAGACACTTCACGTTCAAAAAAGATGAGAGATGACAAAAAAAAGTTTTACTATTTTTAAATATCTTTCTTCAAAAAAATTATCTTATTACTTTTACATAAAAACAAACATATATTATAAAGTGATTTTATTTTTCATTGTGGTACATACCCAGCTCCTGATGAATTTCCACATAATATATATTCTGGGCCTGAACCATGCCAATTAGCTGCAAAAAAATTAATGACTTTTTATTTAAAAAAATAGAAATATAAACATGTAAATTTAGCTTTTATTATTGTTGTTCAAAAATTAAGTATCTTTGATTTAAATTGGGTGCAGTGTTCACTCAAAAATTATCCTTCTTAAAGGATATGATAAAACATTTTTAATAGCATGACAAATGGGTTCTTATGACTTGCTTATTTTATTTCGTTTTTTTTTTTGCTGAAAAGAAAGTTTTACTAGCATTGCATTATTATATAGGCTGCTTCACACAAGACTGAAATAACGAGGTATTAATTGTGTATTTTTGTTACACTTAATTCTTCTTTCTTTACGACACCCTTTTATCAAAGACTTACATTAGAGCGACTTCAATCTTCAAATATTATACGGGAGAAAAGAAAAAGAAAGAAAGAAAGAAAAATCAAGAAATTTTCATAACACTCACCAGTTCTGAAAGGTATAGGAATTAATTGGAAAAAAACAACAAAAAACAATGAAACACAGAAACATTAAGAATTATTTGTAAGTAGCATTCCCTGAATTTTTATTTTCTTAAAAGACAGGTTAAAGTACCCATAGAACTTACATTTATTTGAATTGAACCTAAACCAGTTCTCGTCATTCAGTTCTCCCCAAGACCCGTCCGTGGGGAAAATTTTGATACATTTTTGTGTAAGGACTCCCATATAAATTTGGAGCCCCATTAAGGCAAACACGGACAGCGAGAACATGGTGAGGATGATCACGTCCCGCAGGTTCTTCACAGACTCAATCACAGCTCCTACGATGGTCTTCAGCCCTGGAAGCAAAAACAATGATGTGTTTATTATTATTCCTATAGTTTTGAAGGTAGAAGCAGAAGAATAATTGGATATTCAAAGGGAGAAATTTATTTTAGATAATGACAAGCCTTGGATGGATATTACAAAATATGTCTTTTGAAAAATATCCTTCACTATGATTTGGAAACAATACATAAAACAACATAAAGACTGTATAAACTGATAATGAAATAAGCAATAAACTGATATCTTACAGAAGGTAAAAAGAAAAAATTACTTGTGATTTTTGTAATAACTACCTGGGACAATGGCTACAGTCTTCAATGCTCTCAACACTCTGAAAGTTCTCAAGGCGGCCAGGTTTCCTAAATCTATGCCCATCGTAACATATCTGTAAGCAGGATCACGCACAAAAAAGTATGACTATTACAATATAAAAGAGGAATTATAATGTAAACTCGTTTACATTTAAGCATGCATAGATAATGGTACAATATTGTGTTTGTTTTCTGATATAATCAGTCAAAAGTGAATTGAAAATGTTCCAGTAGTAATCAATTTTGTAGCAAAAAATTGTTATTGAAAACAACACAATACTAAATTCTATACAGTATAATATAATAAGGACACTATGATAACTCTAGATAACAATTATTGACTAGTTTACAGGTTCTTCAACATAATTTCACTGACCCTTATTACAAGATGATCAAGCAAAAATCACCAATTTTAAACTCTTTTAATTTTTATGAAACTTAACATAAGAGAAATGAGCCTCTGTTCTTGCAAACACAGAATATTGAGTTCATTAAGAAAAGAAGAATATTGAAAAATGTATCTAGTTTAATAAAGAATCAATTTTGAATATTATGTATCACTATATCTCTTGAAGTTGCACCTTTTCTCTTTGTCCATACAAAAACCAGTCTAACTATTCAATATCAGGTCAGAAATGGTGGGTTGGAGGGGCAAAAAGGAATTCTTGGTGAAAAAGTTTAGAACTTTATTGAAATAATTAAATAAGGAGATCATTCTCAACAAAACTGCATCATGCAGGATTTAATATTTAAATTCAGATGCACATGATTCAGGAATTGAAGAGAAACTTTCCGTGCCTTCCTCTCTACTAATCATTCATAAGTAATATGTGAAAATGAGAGCAGGCAGAGCTGATGTACATAAATTAACTAATTTTTCCCCCTTTCTCTGTGTTTTTTTATGCAAACTTGAAGCTCATTTTATTTACAAAATGTATTAATAATAAAAATCAATAGTAATAGAAATTATTGAAAAAGAAATTTGTAGAAAATCATTTTGAAATATTCTTTATAAGTTATTTCTTTTAATGATTGAGAATAAAAATAACTTTACTCAACTAAATAATGACTACAAAGTTAAATAAACAGTATCCCTTTATTTTAAATCAAAAATCTCTTCTGATACTCATAGAACTTTAAATTATACCCTTTGAGTATTTCTAGGTTTACTTATACATAAAATTTGTTGTTTTTCTTCATTATCATTTGGCTGCCACATTTATTTTGGGGAATCTCATAAAATAAAGTTATTTTAGAAGAATTTCTGAAAAATATTTCTGAACAAACTTAAAATTATTACTGTCAGCTGAAAACTTTATATATTAATTACTCTAAATAAAGTCAAATTATGAAAATGAAATTTAAAAAATATTTTCTATTATTTATTGCATAGGTTTCAATTTGTGTTTCCATGAAGATCCTTTACTTGGCTCGTCTACATTTCAAAGGAGAATTCAAAAGCTTACACAGCTACTGCTATTACTATCACTTATTACGTTAATTAGTTTCACTGTTCACTTTCTCTTTTACTCCAAAGATAAATTCTTATTAAAAAAATTCACATTAAATACACCTTCAACTTGTTATTGATGCAACACCCTAACAACACATTTCATAGATATAGTACATAAAATTATGTGGTGATGATTTTTGTCTCTTTTTGTCTTGGTAAAATAGTTATAGGTAAAATATTATGTTGTATTCAATTTCACTTGACTTGATTTCAAATACTGAAAATTTTTCATATCACACAATTATAAAATTGGAATTACATTTGTCCCTTTTTCAAGCTTTTTTAAAATAATATTACAAATATCATAAATAATATTTAGTCACTTTTATTTCTGAGTTTGAAAATGATAGTTCAGATCTGAACAATTCAAAAAAATATGGGTCAGCATTTGAACATTAAATAGTATAAATATAGAAAACCAGGTCCAGATTGGTAGGTTATACATTTTGATAAAATTTTATATTCTTTAAAAGAAAATGTTGTGTGTTACATAAAATTCTTATAGCTGACAGCACATCTGATATTAAACTTTGAATTGTGAAAAGAAAAGCCAACATCTACTTATTTTGTTAATAATCTCGACTTGTAATTTGAGACTTTGGAGTCTGTCAATGTTTGTAGGAAAGGAACTGCAAGTGCACCCCTGCACATCAGAAGAATACTGCTACCAATTGCACCACAACAATATTGGAAATGCTTATTAATTTTTCACAATCATCCTATGTACATAGTTACATCTACTATTTTGCTAATATATTCTACATATTTTTTTCTACATAGTAGTGTCATGTACTATTATGATCTACATTTTCACTACATCTACCTCTACGCTGACTGAAATCTAAATCTAAATTAAATCAAACAATCATTTAAATCAGCATTTAAAATTTCATTCATTGTGTAATCAAATATGTATACTGTGTAAGAATTTAAAAATTGCATTTCACTAAGATAAAAAATCAGTATAATAAAGGAGTCCTAATAATCAGTTTTGAACAAATCTTGTTTTGCAAACTATTAATGCTTTACGCAAGAAAACTGTGTCTGAAATGCTGATTTAAATAATGAGGCAGCTAAAGAATGACCCAATCGCCCGTCACTACTCACGCTAAAGCTATTACTACGAAGTCCAGCCAGTTCCATGCATCTCTAAGGTACGTAAAAGGCTGTAGAATGAACCCTCTGGCCATCACCTTAACGGCCGATTCAAATGTGTAGATGCCAGTAAAAATTACTCTGAAAGAGAATGGTCTGGTGTTAGGGAGAAACTAACTACACACACAACACAGACACAAGCATCATATTCAAATTAATGCTCTACTACAAAATTATGAGCAGTATACTTCACCTAATACATTGGTATTTACGTTATTACTACTTCAGTTATGACTTATTGAAAGGTCGAGTGTTAGTACTTACTACAGATCAAATTGATAACAGAATTTCTTAACAAGAAGATATAAAAGAATGGGAAGGGAAAAAATATTAGTAGCAAAGAAAAGAAGTCAGAAGGGAAAAAGATAACTCATTTTACACAGATAACCAAACTAGTAAACAATTCTTATTTATATGAAAATCATGCTCAAAGTCAGAATGTTTTCTGGAAAAAGAAGTTCATGCAAAGCTGGTTAATGAATACAAATTATTTAACCAACTTAACAGCGTTAAATGATCAATATGTATGCTTTGGGAATTTATTGATTGTATGCCATTACATATCAAATGTATTACATGAAATGAAATAAAATTACTTGCCGAAATAGGATTATAACAAAAGAAACTCAAAGCAACAAATTTCTGGAAATTGAAAGTTCCTTAAACATTAACATTTCATTGAAAAATATTACTTTATTAATGTGCTGGACTCTGCTTTAGAATCTCATGCAGTGCCACATTATTATGGTTTTAGGCATATTCAAAGAAATGTAAAATAAAATTTAACTTATGAGGATTAGAAAACTTCTTAGAAACAAAACATTACTGCAATAGTATTAATTCAATCTTAAGAAGAAACAAAGTGCAAATTAATATCAAGGAATTTATTTCATAAAGAGATGTTAGGGTTCGGCAAAAGGACATATGGGACCTTAATCATAGGAAGACAAATCAAAGTCTCAAATGAGAAAGAAGGGTATGATAACTGCAACATCAGTATTTTCTATTAGTATTTTGAAATATTTCTTAAAATCTCATACAAAGTTAGGATACATTAAACAATAACTTTCCAATTAATAAATATTATCTTTAGCAATTCATCATCAATACTTTATTAATGAACTACATTTGAATTGATTAATGTATTCTGACAACATATTTTAACATCCTTTAATTATCAAAATATTTGAACATGGGATGCTTGTATTGAGTATAGCAACCAAATGAGACCAGGCGTTTGTGATGACAAAAACTACCACTGAACCTCCCAAAACAAAATAATATTCACCATGTTGAAATACATATAATTTTCAAATACAATAATGTTAGTAGATGTATTTGCAAATTCTCTGAAGGCAATAAATCCCTACTACATAATTCTTAACAAGGAATATTCATATCCTTGCCATGAGTTCAAAACAGTGTATGAGATCATGAGTGGTGTAGTAAGTGTGTGGGCATATCTGTACAATAAACAGGCTCAGGTATGTTCTTATAAGAAAATCAACTGGTGAAACTGGGTAGAAAAGAAAAAGAAATGAACCAAAAAAAGAAGCAAAAACAAAATCAAAGCAAAACAGAGCAAATCAAAGAAAAGAAAAACAGATTCAGTCTTGTGGTATTGTCTTTATATAATATATTTCAAAGAAAATGAAATGTACAGAGTAAACTGTCCTTCAACATTTTTCAAACTTACTAACAATTACTCATAATTAATGAAACTTCAGTAAAGCGATAGCATACATGGAAATTTAAAATATTAAATTGTTGACATACAAATCAGAAAGATTACATGTAATCTTACTCCAACTTTAAAATGTAATTTGAAAAATTAAAAAGCTTGATTTTCATTGTAAAATAAGAGCTTTCAAAGTCACAAGTGTTACAAAATATTTGCTGAGAGAATGATTTTTTTTTGTTTCAAATATTCTTTGAAATGACAGATTCATCTTTTAATCTTACATAATTTGTTAAGGATGCAGGAAATTTGCTAGCTATTGTATGATCATATATGAGATTTGAATGTTTATCTGTACACAGATGATACTGCAAAATAAAGATGTAAGTAATAGAAAATGACTTTTATGCATTTAAAAGTAGTGTGACAACAGAAATTTTAGTTATTTATTCATTGTAAAATAAGAATGTAATATAAATAAATTCTGAATCAAGATTCCATATATACTGTACGATTTGTCGTTGTTTTTCAAATAATTTTAATTATTATAATAATAAGTATTTTATATATATATTAGCAGTTTTATAAGAGATAACAAAATTTCAAGGTAGTAGAAGTTAAATAATTCCATTTATTGCACAGGAGACTAACCCTTACATGCACAATTGATTCACTGAGTATGTGCTTTCAAACATAACAAATTTGTGAGCAAATTTGGAGAAAAAGAAAAAATGCAGAAAATTATCAATTGCAAATGTGTCTTGCGTGTAACAAGGGAATTTCTTTGAACTAGACATCAAAATTATTAAAAATAATGAAATATTGAAGTATATTTACGTACTAGTACATCCAGTAAGTTTTCCTAAGGCATCAACAAAAACAAACACAATTTAATGGACAAACTTTATTGTAGCAGATACAGCTCATGTTGCACTTTATTTCCACACACTCACCAGAAATGAATTATTTGTCATTTCATGAGATCAACATTTGTATCCCTATGTCATAAATGTATACTGGTTAAGATAGGTATCAATGTTTGATAGCCTCTTGCAACTCTGCTTCACTGTGATTAGTGAAGTGTAATGGTGATCAGAGTTTTTAAGGTGTAAGAAAAGCATTGGGTGTGAGATTCAGACTAGAGTGGATGGTCAAACGCCTCCCAGCGGGACTTCTGTGGAAGATCTGTTGAGAGCCAAGCCGTTTATGGTTGACCACATGACCATCCACTCTGTAGTCTGGTTCTCATCCTCAGCAGTTCCCATATTTTCTTATACCTCAAGAAATTCCTGTTTGATCAGCATTACATTTATTACAGTTGCTGGTGGCTCTCAAACATTGGTATCTGCCCAATCAACAGACAATCTGAATCACTGCTGGCTATGTCTCATACTGGCAGAGATTATGTGGAAAAATAGTCCAACAAGGGCTGTATCTGCTACAATAAAGTTTTTACAAAAAATTTTCTTTTCTTTTGTTGATAACTTAGGAAAATTTTCTGGATGCACCTCATACTTTCACTTCAGAATGGAGGGGTTACTTCTTCTCAAGGAATTATGTTCAGCAAATTTACTAGGTTGGCATGACAAAAATTGTCCTGCTATTTTTACTTTTCAGGACTTGATTAGAATTAAATAAAATCTTCAAAAGAGATTTTTATTGATGCAAAATGAGGAGAGAGAGAGAGAGATAGAGAGA